TACACAACAACCACGCCCGCCAATGGAACCAGTAATCGATCTAGATACCAGTATCCTTTCAAATAAAGCTCCGCTGAAAGGCGTTAAAATAGCCAGTACTGCTGCAAGTTGTTCTCAGAAATTTTCATTTAAATGTAGTGACCTCAACAAAATGGACGAATTTCTCAGGATTGAGTCTAATGATGGGGAAGAATACTTTGTAATCAATAAGCCTGCTGAGATTAAGCGTGTCAACAAACCCACACTCTTTAAGAAGAAATTCCCCAAGACTTAAGTATATTTGGTGGTTTTTAACACACTCCATCTTATAGAAACTCAGGTTCCAAAACCCTCAAAGCCTTGCAACCAAAGCACCTTCCCTCGCAATATTTCTCTGGTTATAAAAACGGCACAAATAGGCGCACCAGTGTGCCAAATAGAGGATTGATGGGTAGACCTAACGATGCTATACCTTTTAATTCACAACCCAGCCCCAGCCATTACCACCCATACATCCAGGAACACAGTGAGTTGTTTAGGTATTCCGAAACACTGGCACGACCCATGGCACCTAGGATCACCTCATCACAATTTAACCTCAATGTATGTACACCGAGCCCAACCCCCTAATCACTCATAAACTCCTCCTCTCCTGACGCACAAATAGGATTAAGTTATGGTGATATTTTAAGACAGTTTGTAGTATCCTGTGTCTTATTCTCGGTATTATTAATTAATGTACGTTCCTTAATCAATAAGATATCTGAACTACGGTCATTAATATAAATCACCAAGCCTACTGTAGTTCCGATAACTGAATCGCGGTACTCATACTCTATACTTGGAGTGCTATAGGTATAGACAATTACACTCTAAACCGTGCAATTAGGGGTTGCAAGTGTGGTGGAGGATGTCCCATATATATACATAACTCATTCGTAGTCAGTAAGGTGGAAGATGAAATAATAAATGAGGTACCTGACTCACGTTAGGTCGTCTTACATGGAGATAAGTGCAAACTTCTCATAGTTGTGTTTATCGAGCATCATGCTCAACCAAAGAAACTGATACGTTATTAGCTAAATTATTTGCACGCGCCTCCTCGTTTAGTACTAGTTACAAAATAATTGCAGGGAAATTCAATCTTTCAGAGGTCAACAGGTTAGGTAGTTTCGGTCGCCAACGCTTCAACGAATTACTTGCCACTATCGATTGTTATGGATGGCACCAACATATCCAGACACCTACCCGTGGTGATAACATGTTGGACCTTGTGTTTTTTTCATGACACAATCCCAGTCTCCACCTATGTTGGTAATAGATTTTCCAGTGGTGACCGTAGAATGGCGCTCCGCTCTCTGCCTTTCTCATCACCAGATACAGGAAAGAAACAAGATTCAGGGAGCATGGTATGTCGTAGTTACAAACATACAGACTGGGGATTAGCCCAAGAATTCATTCGACTCTGTCAGTGGGATGACTATCTTACCACTGACTCCCTGGAGGCTGTTGTGTCCCTATTTTACAGGAATGTTACCTTTTGTCTAGATGCTGTTGCTCCTAAGAAAATAGTGAGATTAAGTAGATACCAAGTTGAACACATTCCAAGGACATGCGTCAATAATTTAAGGAGGTTAATGGAACTGTACTTTACCACAGAGGATATATCACTAATTCCTTAACCCACGAGTCTCTTGAACTTATCAAGCGCCTACGCCCTCAAAATGACCTCGACGAGGAGTTAAGTGCAACAGAACACTTTTTAAAAACGGATGCGGTGGACGAGGGACGTCCCCTAATATTTTACGACAAAGTAATCTACAATGAGCCCGCCACCACCTGTGAACTTTTAAGTGAGTGGTTTGCGAACCTCAGTTTAGAAGAGCACATCCCTGGTGAGACCTCACCTTTTACTGGCACCTCCCTCACATGCATAGTGTTCACCAGTCAATTAACATGACAACGAGTCAGAAGCCTTAGACCTACTTCTGGCACTGTACTGGACGGCCTTGCTTCAATAATTTTCAAAAACGGTAGGTGTGATATTCCCCTATTTCTTCTTAAATTCTTCTCAATGTCTGTGGACACTGGCACCTACCCTAATGAGTGGAAAACCAGCTTCATAATTCCACACTACAAATCTGGTTGATAGGGCAAATGTTCGCAACTACAGACCTATAAATATAACCCCAGTTGTCTCACGAATCGTGGAGAAAACTGTCATAGATCAGTTGTCAGACTATCTACTTAGGGAAGATCTTGGTTCGAAGTCTTAACACGGGTGTCTCAAAAACAGGTCCTGTATTACTTGCCACTTCGGCTTTCCCAGGGGAATGAACATTATCATCATGTAAAATACAGATTCATTGCATCCAAATTAGATAAATTCGCAGTGAATGTTTGTTTATTGTAGTGTTTGTGTAATCAGTAGGATGCAACAGTTTGTATAGACAGTCTAAAAGATATAATCGAGTTTCACACTCTGATTTCTAAGGGTAAGATATTCCATATCTTAGAATGTACGATTGTCAATATGTCAGCACACAGTGATGTCTTAAAAGCTTTTATACTTACTGCGCATATTTGGTTGCACATGCCGTGAAAGCCTTCCGGTTCCTTGCTGTCTCAAAATGATATCTTTTCCAAGAGTTTAAAGAATAATGTCAGATTTAGACCAAGTCGTCTCTCCCAGAGTGGACTGACGTCTAGAGGTGTGCGCCTTGAAGTGTAACTCACCTAAAAATTATACTGAAGCGGTTTTAAAGCAAACCGACAGCGGGTGGCTTCAGTCTTAAGCTTTTCACATATATGAGTGTCGATAAGAATAAACGGATGGTATTCTAAAAGTGGTCTTACAGTTCATTTGCATGGCATGAGTTGGGCCTTATTGTTGTAAACATTTCTGCATATACATCCCTACAGCCTCCATAGCTTTCGAATCTGCGTCACGACCTTATTAGAAAATGTAAGTTCACTTAAGCGCCTGAGCCCCAAGTCAGCGATACTTTTAAGTCTAGAATGTCATAATTATTAGATGGATCAGCGGATTGAATCATTAACTTAACGTCGATTGCGGGTGCACCTAAACGAATCCTACCAGTAACCTGACTTGAAGGAATTAAGATGTACCCAGGTGGTTAATAGCTTGGGGTATACAACCTGTCGCAGGTCAAACTTGCCAGTCTTTCATTTCAATAGACATGCATTGACAGAACGGAGTCGTACAATGAAAACGTGAATTTCTTCATGCAGTTGATTTCGCGTTACTGTGGTGATATCAGATGGTGTGTCCGCTTGTTTGAAAAGGTGTTCTGTCAACCTTTTTACGCTATCAGAATATCTGTCGTGACGTCCGTGATACCGCGCACGAAAACAACACATGATAGCCTTAATCCGCAATCGCTTATGGCCGCGTGACATCTCATGACGGCTATTTACTTCCGGTTTTCGAATAGTTCATTTGACGAGTCGTTCAGTTCTTTACAATGACGACCTTCAGACCTTAAATCTTATTTATCATGGCCTACTGATTTTGACTTCAAAGGGTGTTTGTCGTCCTAAAAGTTCCTCTTTTTTCTCTCCTGGACAAGCATGGCAGCGCTAGTATAGCCACTCCCTGTAAAAGACAGCTGACATATGAAAACGCACATTTCCACTAGAAGCACTTTGATTCCATTACCAGAATTAAATAAAAGACAATGCTACCATAAGTTCGTCTATAGCATAATATTCATATTTTGAAAGTATCTCGGTTCAAAAAGGTTAACAATTGGTATTAGATACGATATCGGATGTTTTCTCAGTGGTCTAGTCAGCCATTTAGAAACAACGGCCCACTTCTGCCTCTCAATTTTTGCACTGCTGATCCAGTTTCTCATCCTGCCCTTGAGGTTTGCTCTCCGTTATCTTCGATGGGTATACAAAAGGCTCTGGAAGAATAACAGCACATCTAATAATAACAGAGGCTAATAAAGGCTATAAAATTACTTAAATAAGTGATTGAGCCCATGGGGGAGAGTGTAAACGTCCTTGGTTGTAGTTTTTCAGTTAGACTGAGTTCGGCCACAAGAAGGCCAAAATTTCAAGCAGTGTTGAAAAACCTGTGATTCGGTCCTGGAGGGTAAGAATCTAGTCAACAATGAAAGCAGTGAAATAAAGCAGGTGCTTTCTTTTCAGTTTAGTAGTTCTTAATTATCTCAAGAATATATTTTAATCTGCAGTAACTTGTAATAGCAAGTATCTAAGGGGTTAAACTCAGATTTAGATACTCCAATACATTCATTCCAAAATTTGTCAACAAAATGTACATCATGTCAGTTTACCAAGAAAATAAAGGCATCTGGAGAAAAACGAAACCAGTTGTCTTCAACCAATGAATAAAGTAGGAATATGATTTCCCCCTGGCATGAAGCATCTATGTTCTCGGTCCAAAGAATGTTTTCTTCACTGATCCTCCGTAGAGTACTCCAATGCAGGTCTTCCCCGGCTGATGTCATGAGGAATAGGCTTAACAGCTGTGTAGAACCGATTGGTTTTTTCACATATATTGGAAGGGAAAATAACCCCACTGACATTTTTATGACAGTAAAGCAGTCTCACGAATACATTCCATTTGTCTTTCGTTTTTATCTTATCTTTCCCCCTAGGTATTTGCGTTTTCTTCCATATTTAAGGATAAACCTCTTTTAACTAATTTACGCGGTTCCTGTATCTATTTTTCCAATTCTTTAACCTCTGCTGTCTCACTTTATTCACACTTTCGAAGTAAAGTCTAGGATATCCCAGCCTAATGAGAATGACCACCTACAGCATTAACACAACCCTGGGGCATATAACCATGAGATCCAAAATCTCACTGTATTTAAAACAGCTACGGAAGTCCAAGATTTAGATTCAGTTCTTTTAGAATTCAAATACTGATGAAAAGCGATTGGTAATCAGTGGTCCAGTAAAATCTTCAAATCTTGATCATCTAGGGTGGCGCGGCAATTTTGAATCTCGGTGATTGACCTTGAGGCGCCATGCCTAAGAAGGCTGCTAAGTTGGATGAGGTAGACTCACAACAAGAATTTTTAGCGCTAGAAGGATGTGCACCAAACCCTGAAGATCGCGATAGTGTCGCAATATTACTGAAGCACCTGTTTCCTGATGACTCGGTTGTTAACGCTGGAGACCTCGCGGAGTATATCACATCACATGATGAATTTGGAACTGTCGTAAAACCTGCAGTAGACGACGATGAGGATGCAAGTGACGATGACAGTGATGACGGTGAAATTGTTTTCTCAATAACCAGCGCCGTTGATTTAAGTCCTCTGACGGCTGAGAAACATTCCGTCGTGAGAAGTATTCGAAACTTCTTTCTGAATGCTGTAAGAAACTCAGAGTCCGTAGCTATAAAGGACAAAGTGGAAGAGCTTTTGGAAAGGGATTCTACTTGCCATCCATACCTTTTCATCAATGAACGATTTGATAATTTATCCCTTACTGTCTGTGCTGAAGCTGTGTCTAACTTGCCCTCTGAATTGAAGTCAGCTGGTTCATCTCCAACTCATTTTCTGCTTATGGCTTGGGCCGTCACAGAGGAGGCTGAAGATGGTACAAAGAAATACGAGTATGCATATCCTGAGGTGGAATTTATTGTCCCACATGCATTATATGTATTAGAAATTGATCCTAAATGGCTTAGAAGCAATGAGGGGAAAAAGAGGAAAGTTGACGAAGATACCCTGGACTATGATACTATGTTTCTAATCATTATTTCAATGGACAAATTTCAGGATATTTTAGATTCTTTGGCGGATAAGGTTTAAATATACTTTTATGTACAGTTCTCGTTAATTTCTTTTCATTGATTTATATATATTCATTGAAGTTAAACATTACTTACCTTGTTTTGTAATGGTGTCTAATAGTCGTACAAGAGAGGGTCTCAGATTTAAACCTTCAGTTCTTGGCTTGAAGTTATAGAAATCTGCAATTTCTATAGGACCTCTTAGCATTTGTTGAGTTTCTTCAGTTAATGATTGTCTAAAATAAATGATAAGGCGATTTCATTTTATTATAATGCCATAGGATATCTATCAGCTGCATACAACTTGAGTATAAAAAGCTATATCAGCAATGAATGTTTAATAATCACGCTGGTAAATGTGAATAGACAGTCCATTTCAGTGAGAATAGAATAAAGACTAGGTACACACTATGAGAAGTTGGGATAGTGAATTATATTATATTACACTATATTTCATACATAGAAGAATGTTCTGGAATTTAAGGATAATTTACGCACAAGTAGAGACGGCTGCATTGTCACGTGCAATTATTGTCTGAAATGGAAAGGCTCGAGAATGATAGTAATGTTGAGAACTAGTAAACAAACAGATTAGTGCAATTACGAAGTTGTGCCTTGGAAATGAAGTGAGATTTCGACAAGTTGAGGTCAGTCAGTGCTTACCAAGATAGTTAATAACAGTCTCTCCTTGCACACAATTCAGGTTTCAGTTTTTGGATAGTCAGAACGGCAATTCAAAGTAGTTGTGATATGCCGTGTCTCTTCATCATTTCTTAAGAGATTCTGCTGTGTTAATCCGGTGTCCTGTGTCTGTCAGTTACTGAGCTATGGCACTTAAATGACTCAGAACCTCTAAGATGTAGATTTTTCTCTACATGTCCAACAATCCTTGTAGACGATCGTCTCTCTGTTCTTCCCATGTGCTCGCTACCTCATGATTTCATAAGCAAGTTGCAGTTAACCGAAGTCGGAAGTTAATCTAGTTCGGACTGTGTAATAAAACTGATTGTGTTTTATGCAGGAGGACCAGTCTGTCTAATGACTGGACACTATTGTGTCATTTATTCGCCTTGCAATTATTTCTCCAATTTCATCACCTTTATATCCTAATTTAAGGAGTACTGGTTTCTTCTCAGTAGTATTATACTCTAATTTCCTCGTGTTACGTTTACTGTACTATTCTATGAGTCGTTTGGTATATCCATTCTTCTTTAAACATTCATTGATGGGATTGATTTCATTTGCTGTTTCCTTGGAGCAAACCATTTTTGCCGTCTGACTTTATGTTCTATCTGAACCTCCCTAATAGCTAGCTAGACAAAAGCTGTTGAAGTTTAGGTATTGACCATTCTGGGTTTTGTTTGTACTGAATTCATTTTCTATTGTTCCGTCTTCTTTTATCATAGTGCATAAGTCAAGAAAGTGTCGTTGATTATTGGTTGACTTCCTACTATATTGTGAACTTGATATTTGAATGAGTGCTGTTCAACCTTTGTAGCAGTATTTTTGCATGATGAGTATCATAACATACATTGGTTAGAGAACCATTGGAAAATCGGAGAGTATTGGACAACTGTTTCGTGCTAGTTTGGGACTATTCAGCAGCACGCAACCACCAGTGTTCGAACCCAGGACCTTCTGGTTACAAGGTGAGCTTTAGTGTCAGCTCATGATGAAATCCTGTAACCAACTAATCAAATCCCTACAAACCAATACTTGAATACCAATGAGATGTTCACTGGTAACATGTTCTATACAGATAGGTAGTTACCTGGGTTTCTCGTGGGAAGTCGTGACCAGTAGGGTGCAGCAGGTCGGGTGTGAGGACAAATACTCGCCGAAGACACTGGTCGCGCTATGTCGTGAATTGGCAGAAATTAGAATCCACAGACCGGTCATTGGATAGGGTCTGAGTGGCTTAATGGTCTACGAGCTCGCTAGCCTTGTAACCAGAAGGTATTGGGTTCGAACCCTGGCGGTGGGAGTCCCAAACTAGGCTGACGGAACAGTCGCCCAGTACTCCCAGGTTTTCCAATGGTTCTCTAACCAATGTCAGCTGATGATGATATCCTGTAAGCATACAACAAGTATGTCATCTACATACCGTGAATATAACGTCCGTGCTGTGATTACAGATTTCAAGGTAATGTATTCTAGAAAAGACAAGGAGATATTAGCCACTATTGGACCCAGCAGACCTGGTCCCAACTCCATCGATAATATTTGGATTGCATACGTTTGGTACATAGGAGTAGGAGACACCTCATAATCAGCCGTCGCTGACTGGCTATCTTCTGTGTTGACAGGTAATATTTATCTCCCCTTGAGGAGGAATGCTCATAAACAAGAATTGAATGTTGTAAGTCTGTTGGATACATTAATTTGCTCTTTTTCACAAAATTGAAACAGCCAGCTAAAGTGCATGTTGATAACTTTTCCCGAATGTTTTCTGTCTTTTATGATAACCAACGACAACATTTTTGGTAAGAGGATTTGAGCATAGGCAGGATACGTCTTATTGGTATGTTGTCCTTATGTATTTGAGTTTGTTATACGTCTCAGTGTCCAAGTCCTCGTGTGATAATCATAGGGGGATCAGCCTAACGAGCATAGTCTCTAAAATCCTAGACTCAGTAATCATGCATAGACTAAGCGGAACTCGTGAGGAACAGACAAGGGAAAATCAAGCAGGCTTTAGGCCAGGTAGAGGGTGCATAGATCATATCTTCACTCTTCGACAGATTCTAGAACATAGACACACTTTTCGGCGTCCAACAATTGTCATATTTCTTGATTTGAAGGCGGCCTTCGACTCCGTGGATCGAAAGGTACTATGGCAATGTCTGGCTGTGAAGGGAGTGCCAAGAAAGTACATTGCACTAATCAAGGCACTCTATTCAAACTCACGTAGTCGTGTAAGGGCTTATGGGGAATTGTCATCTGAATTGGTAACAACCAGTGGTGTCCGACAGGGATGTCCACTCTCCCCATTTCTGTTTAACTTCATCATAGATATCCTGATGGAAGTATCCTTAACTGAAAGTAATGACTTAGGAATCGACTTGTTACCAGGGAATAGTCTTATGGACTTAGAATATGCAGATGACATAGTCCTGTTAGGGGAGGATGATGACAAAATGCAGAGTCTTCTGAACACCTTGAGCAGCAATCTTCGCATGTTTGGAATGCGATTCGCCCCTAAAAAATGTAAGATGCTGCTACAGGACTGGACCACGTCAACTCCTAACTTAGTGATAGGGAGTGAAGTGATAGAACATGTTGACCACTTCACCTATTTGGGAAGTTGTATTAGCACCAACGGACTGATGGGCGATGAAATCTCAGCACGGATCCGAAAAGCTCGAGCTGCTTTCGCTGACTCACACCATCTCTGGCGTAGGCGCGACATCCGGTTATCAACCAAGGGACGTGTGTACTGCTCATCAGTTCGCTCCGTCCTTCTCTATAGCTCTGAAACATGGCCAATACGAGTTGAAGACATGAAAAGGTTGACTGCTTTCGATCATAGATGTCTGAGATCTCTGTCTCACGTTAGGTGGTTTAATAAGGTAAGTAATGCTGACGTTAGGCGTAGAGTGTTGGGCAGAGAGGGAAAATCAATCGACGAAGCTATAAAGTTACATAGACTAAGATGGCTAGGTCACGTGCTGCGCATGCCTAACCATCGCCTCCCCCGACGGGCATTACTAGCTGATATAGGTGCAGGTTGGAAAGAGCCAGTGGTGGCCAAACAAAAACATGGCCTCATCAATCCATGAAATCCTTGACAGTTAAACTGAGTCAGTCAGGTAGGGTAGGGAGATGCAGACTCCCGGGTTGGGGCCCTCGGGACTCTAGGAATCAATGCCTGGAGACAATAGGTGGCGTCCAACAGTCATTATATTTCTTGACCTAAAGGCAGCATTCGACTCTGTCAACCGAAAAGTTCTCTGGAGATGCTTGGCTGTAAAGGGAATTCCGAGAAAATATATTGCACTGATTAAGGCACTCTACTCGTACTCATACAGCCAGGTGAGGGCTTACGGCGAGCTGTCATCTGAACTGATGACGACCAGTGGTGTCCGTCAAGGATACCCATTATCCCCTTTTCTATTCAACTTCATCATAGATGTGTTAATGGACTTAACCCTAGGTGACTTCAGCTACTCAGGGATTGACTTGCTACCAGGGAATAATCTCGTTGACTTGGAATATGCAGACGATATAGTCCTTCTAGGCGAAGACGCTGACAAAATGCAGAGTCTTCTGAACACCTTGAGCTGCAATCTACGAATGTTTCGCATGCGATTCGCTCCCGCCAAATGCAAGATGATGTTACAGGACTGGACTACATCGACGCCTAGTTTAAAAATAGGAAGTGAAGTGGTAGAGCACGTTGACCGCTTCACTTATTTGGGAAGTACCATCAGCCAGTCCCAACGGGTTGATCTCTGACGAAATCTCCGCACGAATACAGGGGGCTCGTTTCGCATTTGTTAGTTTACGCCGACTCTGGCTTAGTAGACGAGATGTTCGACTATCGACCAAAGGGCGGGTGTACTGCTTATCAGTCCGCTCCGTCCTCCTTTATGGCCGGCTGTGAGACCTGGCCACTGAGAGTGGAAGACATGAAAAGGCTGGCTAGCTGTCTTTGATCATAGGTGCCTGCGCTCTATTTCCCGTGCAAAGTGGCATAATAAGGTGAGCAACATTGAAGTTAGGCGTCGAGTGCTAGGTATACTGGGGAAATCAGTCGACGAAGTCGTGAAGTTACACAGCCTGACTGAGATGGTTAGGACATGTGTTACGTATGCCTGGTCATCGCCTCCCTCGACGAGCAATGTTAGCGGATAAGCTAGCGGCGGTCAAACAAAAACTTGGCACCAGTCAATGAAATCCACAACAGTTGGTCTAAGCCACGTAGGAAGGTATAGACATCCTAACTGGTAGGGGTCCTCGGGACGGTAAAACTCTATGGTTGGAAACAATTGGTGACATGGCTCAAAATCGTTCTCAGTGGCGCAGATGCATCCACTCCTTGTGACTTATGATCTCCAATGAAACTGTTTTGTTCTTCGTTATTACTCCTCCTTTGTCTCACACCTCTGCTTACTGTCTCTATTATGCTTTTCTTATACTTTCTTCTCTTGCTTCGCGTGCTACACGGAGTGTGGCGACTTGAACTTCCGCACATTTGTGCAAAGTTCTATGTCGAAAACAGACTGACAGACAGACA